AATTACTCATTGCCTGAGCATGTAGAATGGATGAGACTTCATTTAAGCATGCAAAAGGGAAAAGTGAAGCTTCCTTCTGGAGGAATAAATCAGTGTTACTCATTCTTATGAGTTAGATACTTAATTCTGTTGACCTGACAGATACTAAAACATAGAATTGACTCCAGGGGGTCCAAAGCAGTGAAAGTCTGTGCGCCTGATGAGTTATAAGGCCTGGTATTCAATTTCCTGCATAGTCTTCTGAGCAACAGGTAAACCCATCAGTTCTGATTGGGGTGACTGTGGCATATGGAAATACAATTTTCTTATTTAGGTGTGTTGCCTTTCAAAAGGACAATCTGTATATTGAAGAATAAAGTCATCACAGTTAAAACAGGCAAATAGAATACAAAGTTACTTTTAGTTGTCCAAAATAAAAATGTTGCTAACCAAATATATTTGTAAAGCAAAACTATTAAAGAATTAGGAACTCAATATCTATGAATATTAAAAATATATTTTGGAATCCAGACATGGAAATGAATACAAAACTAAAGAGGAAGAATACATAGCTGCTGCTGTTAGTATTGTCTATCAACTATGATAATCATTTTATTTTAAAAGATGTTTATTAGTGATCTCTATTAGTCTTATCTCTGTGCAAGATAGTTATCATAGATACCCACAGTGAATATTTCTGATGTTTTTCATTCAACTCTTTATAGATCCATATCCCATCCACTGTCTGTTCCTATCTTCCTGTCTGAAAAACTCCATATACCATTTTTTGTAGTGCAAGTCTCCTGGTGATGAATTCCTTCAACTTTTTTTATGTCTTTAAAAAGTCTTTATTATCCCTTCATTATTAAAAGATATTTTTGCTGGGTATAGAATTTTAGGTTGCTGGTTTTCTTTAAGTATTTAAAAGATGTTGCTCTTTTATCTTGTAGCTCATATTGTTTCTGATGTGTGTTATCTTTTTAAGCTTTTTTCCTTTGGCTGATTTTAAGATTTTTTCTTTCTCCCTGGTTTTAAGCAATTTGGTGTTATTTCTTTTTATGGTTTTTTTTTTGTGCTTGGATATGTTGAACTTCCTGGCCCTGGGGGCTTTTTCTCCCCCCATCAAATTTGGAATATTTTATGCCATATTTCTTCAAATATTTTTTTTAACACCTCTCCTTTGGAGATGCCAATTAGGTGTATATAAGTTGTCCCATAGCTCAATAATGTTCCATTTGTAATTTTTTACTATATTTTCTCTTTGTGTTGTTTCATTTTAGGTAGTTTATAAATTGCTTTAACTATAAGTGTTAATCTCATTCAGTGTACTTTTTAAAAAATTTCATACATTGTATCTTTTGTCTCTAGAAGTTTGATTTGAATCTTTCTTGTATATGGCAAGTCTCATTTTCAGTGTTTTCTCTAGCTTTTTAAGCATTTGGAATACAGGTATAGTAATTGTTTTAATTTTCTTGTCTGCAGTCTCTAATTTCAGGATTTGGTTCTATATAATTCCGTCATCTGTGTAATTTTCAGAGTTTAGTTCTATGGTGTTATGTTGTTCTTCATTATGAGTAGTATTTTCTTCTGTCTTCACATGCCTCATAACTTTCGTCAGTAATTGATTGGCTCTCAGTCATTATGAGTTTTACTTTGTTTGATGCCGGATATTTTCATATTTTTATAGTGATATTCTTGAGGTTTTTTTCTGTTATATAATTACATGGAAATATTTTGGTCCTTCAGAGGCTTGCTTTTAAGCTTTGTTAGGTGAGATCTTAGCATTGTTTAATCTTGGATTAAGTATTTCCTCCTATTAAGACAATATCCCGTGTTAACTGTCCTCAGTGCCTTGTGAATGCCAAGCTTTTCCCCTCTGACTGAAGGGAACAGGAGCTATTCCTGCCCTGTGTGAGCTTTGGGAATTGTTCCCTGTAATGCATAGTTTCTTAACCTTGGAGCTATTGACATTATGGAGCTTGAAAATTATTGGGGGGAGGGGGTGTGGAGGGCAGGGAACTGCCGTGTATGCTGTCAAATGTTTAGGAGCATCCCTGGCCTCAAACTGGATGGCAGTAGCATCCTCCACACTGTGACAACCCAAAATGTCTCCAGACATTGTCAAATGGCTATTGGGGAGTAAAATTGTTCTCAGCTGATAACCACTGCTCTAATCCTTTCTGGTAGTTTTTTTGTATGCATGTGCTTTGGCTGAGGACTCAAAGGGGGACCTCTTGCAGATCTCCAGAGCCCATGCCTCTCACCATCTTCTCTTTCATACTCTCTCCTGAGAACTTTAGTTCCTTGACCTCCCAGCATTCCTCACTGTGTTGTCTCAACTTACGGAGACCAGTGGGTTCTGCCTGGGTACCTTCTCCCCCTACACGGCCAGGAAACTCTGGCCTCACAAGGCTCACATTTGTTTCCTGTCTCTCAGTGATCACTGTCCTTAATTGTCTGATGTCCAGTGTCTTCCCAAACCATTGTGCATCTTTTTGATTGTTGTTTTTTTGTTTTTTTAAGTTTTCTGTTTTCTACTTTTTTCAAGTGGGATCCCTATTAACTTCATCTTGGCTCTCATCCTTATTCCTGAATGGTATTTTTGCTGAATACACAATTCTGGGCTGGCTGTTATTTATTTATTTATTTTTTAAAGCACTTACAAAGGTATTTAACTGGCTTCTGGTTTTCATTGTGGCTAATCACTCAGCTGTCAGTCATATTTTTTTTCTGATATTTTTAAGATCCTCCTGTCTTTGGTGTTCTGTAGTTTCACTACGATATATATCTAATCTTGGATTTCTTTTTATTGTTCCTGCTTCCTAATGGATATATTGGGTTTCCTGAATCTTCAGACTCAGTCTCTCATCAGTTGTCAAAAATTTACAGCTATTATCTCTTCAAATATTTGTTCATCTTGAGGCTGTTCATTCCTTTGCTCTGAAACTCTTGTCAGATACAAAAAGCGACATTTGTGGCATATGTAACTAACAAAGGCTTGGGTCCAGTATATTATAAAGAATTCTTACATATCAATAAGAAAAAGACAGATAGAATAGAAAACTGTGTGAGGATATTCAGCAGGCATCTCCCAAAAAAAGCTATCATTGGTTATAAGAAATATGAAATTTCAATCACAAGGAGATACCACTGCCAGATTGAAACTAGTAATGTAAAATGTTGGGGATCATGGGATATAACTAGAACTCACGGAAGCTGTTGGTAGGAGTAGAACTGGGACAACCACTTTGAAAAATTGTTCATCTTGTATCTAGTAATGTTGAATATACTTAGAAACCCACAACCCAGACTTTTCTCTCTTAAATATACTTGACCTTTGAACAATGCAGGGATTAGGGTCACTGATTCCCTGCCTGGTTAGAAATTTGTGTATAAGGAGGGCACTTGTTGTGATGAGCACTGGGTGTTATACACAACTAATGAATCATTGAATACTACATCAGAAACTAATGATGTACTATATGTTGGCTAACCAAACATAATTTAAAAAAAAAAAGAAAGAAATTTGTGTATAACTTTTGGCTCCCCAAAACTTAACTACAAATAGCCAACTGTTGACTGGAAGCCTTACCAATAGCAAATAGTTGATAACACATATTTTGTATGTTATGTGTATTATATACTGTGCTCTTCCAATAAAGTATATGAGATAAAAGAAAATGTTAAGAAAATTATTAGGAAAAGAAAATACATTTATAAGACTGTTGTATTTTTCAAAAAATACCTGGATACAAATGGACTCGTGCTGTTCAAACCCAAGTTGTTCAACAGCCAACTGTACTTAACCCCAATTGTGTGTGTGTGTGTGTGTGTGTGCATGCGTGCACGCATGCGCATTAAAAGATGAGAAATATTTATAGCAGCACTATTTATAATAGCCAAGAACTGAAAACATCCTAAATGTTCCTCAAAGGCATAGTGGGCAAAGAAACTGTGAGATATTCATATCTTGGAAAAAAGACCACAGGTGAATGCAGCTGGACCATTGAGAGGCTATTACAGTTCTCCAGGTAAAACACGACAACATCAATGTCTCTGAACTTTTCCTGTAAAAATGGTCTGTTGCTCCTACTCCATCTTGCTCTCATAGCATGATGGCAGCGATGGACAACACATCCATGGATGAAGACTGGGTGACAGGAGCATTTCCTTTACAAAAACAGGTAGCATCATTTGCCAGCCTCTGGTCTAGAGCTGAGAGAAGACAACACATTTAGGATATATTTTGCAAGTAGATTTAACAGGATATGGATTGGGTGTTGAGGAGTGTACGGTGGAGAAGAGATTTGTTTCAAGGGTGATTTCTAGGCTTCTGGCTAGAATAATTTACAGACTGGTGGTAGTGATTAGGGAACAAATGAGTTAAAAGTCTAAAACCCACTCTCCTAAAATAGTAGTGACATGTCAAGGTTTGAGAGTTATTTTGGTCATTGGTCTATAATGACAATGTGACAGTGTTTTGTGGAGATTTACCACCATGCCAGTCATGACTAGAAAAACTTTCACTATACACAAATTAGTTATCTTATTACACAAAAAAATGAAAAGGTGAGAAAACAAGAAAAGAACGAAAATTAGTCATTATTGGTCAGTTTTTTTGTGTGTTTTCTGCTAACAGGAGGAAGGGAAAAATACAGTTCTCTCAGACTCCTACTGGCTGATCAACAATGTACCTAGAGCCTCATTTTCTAGTAAAAGTAATAACCCCCACCCCATCCCCAGCTGCCACCCTTATAATGATGAACCAGAAAATATACAGGTGAGAGGACTTTTATGCTGATTCTTGTCCTACATTGGTGGCATTGGGGATGGGGATGGCAGCTAAATAGTGCCGCCTTCTCCTGTCCTACATATTCCCATTTCGAAGATCCTCCTTTTCATGTAGTTGCCTATCACCATTGTTACGTCAAAATTATAACACCGATTTGATTTTCTTTATAGTTGGATGTGCTTGGGATTTTATATTTGATTAATTTTTTTCCAAATGTTGACTTTGATAGGCTTTGCTCTCTGTACATGATACTGTGGCTCAGAAGAATTACGATCCTGTATTACCGCCAATGCCTGATGATATTGACGATGAAGAAGACTCCGTAAAAATCATTCGTCTGGTCAAAAATAGAGAACCACTGGTGAGTTGTAGTTTACACTTGGTGCTCAGATGTGAGTAGCTATCATGATAAAACCAAATCTTATGGGGACATACCATTTATTCCTCTCTTTGAAACATAATTTTTCTGTGTTGTCAAACTTTAGAGTGTTCATGTCTAAAAAATAATATTTAGAAAAATGAAAAAAAAGCTAAATAAAACGACAAGCATTCTCTTGGTTATACATAGCAATAATTTGTACGATGTGACGTTGACGTTTATAAAAGAAAGTATAACATGTGCCAGTCACAGCTGATTTAAGATTAAATGGTGCAACTAAAAATAATTGCTTATGGTTTTTCTAGAAAGCTGATTTATTTTAAAGTAATGAGGAGAAGCTTACCAAATATCTGTTATTTCAAAATGTAAATGTACCCATTTATTTTAGCACCAGAATTTATACAATGTCAGATTACATCAAGCGATTTACAGTGGGCAGAATGATGCCCAGTGATGTCATGTCCTAATCTTCAGAGCCTGTGAGATATTACTTTAAATAGCAAAGGGACTTGTCATGATTTGGTAAGAGTCTTGAGATGGGAAGATTATCCTGGTTTAGATGGTGGGTCTAGTGTCTTCACAAGGGTTTTTACTAAAGTAGAAAGAGGAGGCAAGGAGTCAGAGTTGCAAAAGGAGACGTGATGATTAAAGCAAAGGTTGATGTTGCCATGAGCCAAGGAATGCCAGAAGTTTCTAGAAACTGGAAAAAGCTCAAGGATCAGATTCTCTCCTAGATCCTCCAGAAGGAACACAGCCCTGCTGACACCTTGATTTTAGCCCCAGGACACTCATTTTGACCCTCCGACTTACAGAACTGTAAGATAATAAATTTGTGTTGTTTTAAGTCACTACCTTTGTGTGGCGCATTTGTCTCAGCAATAGGATACGAGTACAGAGTATATCCATATTTTGCTGAAACTACGTTCTGAAGAAAAATAGATTTTATCATCTAGCAGTTGATTTTAAATGTGTTGTGGCTCATTTTGTCTACTTAAGACATTTTTGTGTTCTTAAAGCAAGTATCAGTGGATAAGGCAATATTTGCTGGGCATTAGGTGAGGTACTTTACATACATTATATTTAATCCTCATAGTACGTGTCTTTTTCCATTTTTATAGACTAGGAAATGAATGTACAAAGAAGCAAAGCAACTTACCTAAGTATCACAGGTAATGAGGGGTAGAACTAAGGTCCAGATTTGGCTTTTTACCTTCTAATACTAGTTTTTTCTTCTATACCATATTGTGTCTTTATACTTTTACCTTTTAGGTGGTTTTCATATTTTGCTTTAGTTAAGGACAACTTTGGCACCTTGATAAATGCATTGGACACCTTGCCCAGAAAAATACACAGATAAATTTGCATGTAATATAAGGGAATTTTTGAGCCCCTGAAGCTCATCCGTGGATATCCTAGGACTCCCTGTATTCTTGGCTAAGATTGTTTAATGTAGATTATGAATTTATGCCTTTCATCTGTGGTTATAAACTTGTACTGGTAACCTAAATATCTCTTGGTATTTATTATGAAGGTAACATACTTAGTAAGGCTAGACGGTATGCAGTTGGGATGTAGAAAGGTGTATCTCAAGGCCTATTGCCATAAAGTGACTCCTTCTTGGTGGCTTCTGTGCATCCCTCAGTAAGAAATACGTTTTCTGTTTTGACAAATTCAGGCTCTTAGATAATTGAAAGGCTGGCCATCTTGAGGAGTTCAGTAATTCCCTAGTAATCATTTCTTTGATCAGTCATAGTTTTCCCAGGGGTGGCAAGGTTTTGGGTGTGTTGGTTTGGTGAGCTAACATTTAAACCACCATCAGCGACATGTAAGTCCTGAGCCTCTCCTGATCAAATAAGATCTTCAGATATACAGTGCAAGAGGAGGGGAAGCACAAAATACCCCAGGATGTTATTTAGGGGGGCAGAAGTACTATACGTTCAGTTAGCAAGAATAGAAGGAAATGCATGGGAATAAAAATTTCAAGTTTCCCTACGGTTATATGGAGCTTGTGGGGCTATGCAGGTGCTAAGAGGCTAGAAATTGGTTGAATTGTTAGGGTGAGGAGCTTGGGTGGCTCCGTCAGTTGAGTATCTAACTTTTGATTTTGGGGTCATATTCTCAGAGTTGTGGAGCTTGCTTGGGATTCTCTCTCTCTCTCCCTCTCTTCCTCTGCCCCCCTCTAATTAATTAATTAATTAAAATAAGTTTAAAAATTATTTCTCTTAAGCATGAGAATGTTTTCCAGATTTGTAACATTTGTATATTCTGGGGATATCCTAAATATTTCTTGGAATTGTTCAGTTTTCTTATTCCTGTACCATGGTATAATTTGGCAATTTTGTATGTACTTGGTAGCATTTTCCTTTCTACTTCCCCTTAAATGATGAAATTTAAAATTTTTAATTTTAAATTAAATTTTTAATTCCATTGCATTTTTATCCATTATTTTTATTCTGCTTTTTGCCTGTTTTTACATGAATTGAAAAAATTTTTCTGTTTCTCCATTATTTAAAAGTAAATTAATAATAAAAGTTTTTTCCCCCCAAATTTATGCAATTAACTTCTTTAAACTCTAGGTTTATTTTTTTATACTAATATTCCATGTATAAGGCAATTTCAAGCAATTTCAAGGACTTTTAAGTTATCTTACTTTAAAAAATTATTTTAGTCACTGGTCCTTTGTCTTCCTAGTGAGCCACAATTTGCATGTTTTTTTGTTCAAGGAGCTGTATTGAAAAAAATAAAAATAAAAACTTCAAATAGAAAACAACATCTACATGGAATGAAGAAATCCCCCAAATTATTTGTTATGATTCCTGAGAAAAGTATTTAGATTTCAGATGTCATTTCAACCTTGGAATATGAAATCAGGGAAGGCGAATTACTTGTCTTGAATATTAGTTTGACAGTTATTGTAAAGTAGGAGTATTGGATGAATAAAAAAGTTTAAAAAATGAACTAGTCAGAAAAGTAGAAAATAGTCATTTTCAACAAGCTTGTCATTTTACATTTGTCAAATGTCACTTGTCATTTTGGAGAGGTTATTGGAAAAAGCCACAACCACCAAAGGGGTAGGGGGTGGGGAGGGAGAAGCAGAAACTGGGAGAAGATTAAGTCTGAGGCATCCTTAGGAGAATGAATCCAAGGGGTTAAGAATCAAATAGTTAAGATGAGGAAAGCCAAGCTGAAATAAAATTCTAGTGATTGGATGGTCAGTAAATTTTCGGCAAATGATTCAGGAGGAAAGGCCAAAAGATTTAGCAATCAATGGGCTAGTTTATCGGTGTTACCTAAGCATGTGATTTTGGGGGCACGTGGGTGGCTCAGCTGGTTAAGCATCTGACTTGATTTCAGCTCAGGTCATGGTCTCAGGGTCCTGGGATCGTGCCCCACATCGGCTCTGTGCTTGGGAGGGAGTTTGCTTGAGAAATCTCTCCTTCTCCTTCTGCCCCTCGCCCGCACACTCACTCCTGCCACGCACTCACTCTCTCTCAAATAAATAACCTTTTTTAAAAAAAATGTAAGTTTGTGTGTTAGACTGAGTTATAATGCAGTGCAATAAATGCCAAGCTTGCATTAGATGACCTAAGTGGGAGGCATTATGCTGTCACTTATTTGCTCTATATCCTTATAGGAACAAGTCACTTAGCCTCTCAGCCTGAGGCTCCTTATTAGATAGTCAGGAGATATGCCTCTTCAAGAGTGTTTTGAATATCAACTAGTATAATGTATTTGAAATGCTCTGTAAGTTTTTATGCATTATGCATGCATTATATCAGTGTTACACAGAATGATGAGAAGGTAGGAGCTCTAGATGACAGTTGTTGAAGGAGAGGACCATTTCCAGGAAAAAGAGGCCGTGAACACAGATCATGTAGATAATTTGCCATGGAAAGGTGAGGGGGTGATAATTTCAGGGAAGGGATGATGAATGAACTGAGAGAAGGAGAGTTTAAAAACACTGGTCAGGATGCAGGGAGCAGAGTTATCCTCCCTTCCTGTGAATATGGAATAATTTGTAACTGTTTTATCCAGAAATAATGAATAATAAATATTAATTTTTAGGCAGGCTTAAGAAAATGACTTTCTATTGGTGAGTGAGTGGATTATAATCCCGATTTTCAGTTTCTGGCATGGGTTGTCCTTGATTCTTTTAGAACGGTGGTGCTCAAACCTTTTTTTTAGATTTTTTTTAGATGTCTCCGATGTTCTTGATGCAAATGTGTGGTAGATGATACTTGAAACCATTTTGATTTAAAAGGTTCAGGGGCGCCTGGGTGGCTCAGTTGGTTAAGCGACTGCCTTCGGCTCAGGTCATGATCCTGGAGTCCTGGGATCGAGTCCCGCATCGGGCTCCCTGCTCGGCAGGGAGTCTGCTTCTCCCTCTGACCCTCCTCCCTCTCATGCTCTCTGTCTCTCATTCTCTCTGTCTCAAATAAATAAATAAATAAAATAAAATCTTTAAAAGGTTCAACCTGAAATCACCTGTGCTACCAGCTGAAGGGGAAGGTCCTAGAACATTGGCAGTATTGGAGGAGATGCAGTTTTTATGTAGGACATTGTGATAGCTCAGTCTCAGCAGTCCTCTTTTATAAACCATTTTACAGCAGTAACAAGACAGACACATTCAAGCAGAATTTTAACTTCTCAGTCTAACCTGAAGTTCTCTATATTCTATATTTTGTCAAAATCACATAGAATAATGGGATGCCTGCGTGGCTCAGTTGGTTGAGCATCCAACTCTTGACTTCGGCCCAGGTCATGATCTCAGGGTCGTGAGACTGAGCCCTGTGTAGGGCTCTGTGCTGAGTGTGGAGCCTGCTTGAGATTGTCTCTCTCCCTCTCCCTCCCTCCCTCTCTCTCTCTCAAAAATCACATAGAATAAATTCAGAATATATAAGAAAATATGTACTAAAACATTAGATACAATTTTAATTCATTTTGCCTTTGCCACCTGTGCCATTGGACTGTAGACTTTTGGA